TAATTAAAAATATTTGTGATAATTATTTTAGTTAAATTAATTAAAGAGAATATGAAGAGAAGCGTATTAAGAATCGCTGAGAAATCTTAAGTACAAAGGACTTAGCCAAAGTACGGATGGATAAGTTGGTCTCTGCTTGTTCTACTCTCATGTTATTTATTTTTAAAGGACTTAAACTTATTTTGGCTTTTCCATTTGCATTAGTTTGTTTCCAGTCTTTCACTCCTCTGTATACACTAAGAAAACAGTTTATAAAGCTTTAATTTTATAAGGTGAAGGTTTTTAAATACTGTAGGGGTTGAATTATTCAGAGTAAAACAACTACCAATGATCAGACTGAATAATTATATATTTTTTTTAATGAGAAATTATATTATATATTTTCGTTATAATTTTGACAGTTCCAGATACACATGATCAACTTGTACACATTAATAAGATTTGGAGATTCATATAACGCCAGTTTTTGTTTGGATTGGATTTACGAATCTAAAATAATAAATATCCAGAAGTATATAAATAGATGAAAGAAATCAAAACTTTTTATCACAACATTTATATTTCTTATACTCTTTATAGGTCAAATAAATAATTAAAAAAAAAAAAAATATATATATATATATATATATATATATATATATATATAATCATAAATAATGAAATGAAATCAAGATTATTAACTTTTTTTATTTATAATTTTTCTATGTATTTTGCAAATAATACTTATGTAAGTATAAGTCTGTTTTATAAAGTAGAAATTATAAATAGTTTCTGTAGTGACCTCAGGAGGTGTTTTATTACAGGTAGCGATTACAATGACAAACATCAGTCATGGAGATCACGACTTGATACTCCTTGAGAGGGAACCTAATATATAGATTTTATATATGTATATATTATATATACATATTTATTAGGTTTCTTTATATACCTATCTATATATTATATAATTAAATATATAATAATAGTTTTTATATATATATATAATCTATCGAGATCTATAGACTTCGACTTACTTACCAATGATAGGCAGCGTAGATGATTTCTTGTTGGCTTTGTTGAGTTGACTTTTTTGTATTTATTATTTTATATTTTTGTTTGTTAATATGCGTTTTAACTAAAAATTCATATCATGTAAAAATAGAAAATAAAATTATGTAAACAATTATAATTCATGTAGTATGCCTTTAAGGCATGGAACATGAAGGTGAATCAAATAATAAATGGATGAGAATCCGAAGGCAAATTTGTGCGGCACAATGTTCAAATAATCAAATTTGAAAGAGCCAATACATACTTCATTTTGCGGATGGCAGAGGACATGAAAATTCCAGTCAGTAAGATGATTAAATATTAAACCAAAAATCGCGATTAAATATTGAAATAATTTAAATGCAGACCGCTTATTCTGTGACACAGTCAATTGATTGATGGTATACAATTAATATTTTGTACAATAATTTTACATAATCAATCGACTCATATAATGTGGCTTATAAAATTATTAAAAGCTATAAGCATTATTATTTGTCTGTCATAATTATTATTTTCATTTAGAGGATTTTGTGAAAGAAAAACTTACATTTTTATTGTAAAAAAATAAATAATACATTCTGTGTTGATAGAAAAAATGTATTATTTATTAATTCATTTAATATGTGATCAACATTGACTCTTTTATGCTTAAATAGCACACGAATATTTATATTTATGTTTTTCTCATCTTTGTATGCAATTAATTACAATAAATTCTTTATTTATTTTATGTTCTTTTGTTTAATTTTCTCTACAGTATAAGATATAAGGGGCACGGTGATCGCTCATAAACATATAAATTTAAAATTTTTAAATCTAATTTTGATATTCTTTTTTATTTATTTTTTGATCTAAAATCGTATTAAATTTAAACAAAAATAATATTGAAAAATAGGAAAAAAACACTAAAAAATTAAAACTTAAACTGAAATTTCCTAATATTTATTACGATTTTAAATGAATTTGCGCAGTTTTGTAATATAAAAATAATAGATATTTCTTTTATATACGATATTAATTAATTTGAGCAATTTAATTTAAATAATTTGTACATTTTTAAATCTAAATGGGTAATATGTATCAATTTTATTTATTTATTTATAACAATTGGGACTCCTCAACCTCTTACGGGTTATTTTAGCCCTTGCACAGTATTTATATTACATCAGATGAAATTTAACCATACATTTGAAAGAACAAAATATTTAAAACATTAATATTTCCAAAAAAGTTTGAGCAAATTTATATATTGTTATATAAGTTCATTATTTGAAGAAATATAAGCAATAAGGTATCAATTAAAACAATCTAAGGATAGATAAAAATAAGCTCTTGTAATTGATACCTCGACAAATTCAAACCGCCTCTAGGAGGAGCTTATCCGGAAGCTATTGTCCAGTTGTTGATCAAGTTCGATAAAGAAGCTTGATCAAGTTCCTCCCTTCTTCGCAGATCGTCGAATTCAATTACTTCCAACTTATAATGAAATTACTTCGGAGCTATGTTCTTGCATATTGAACCTGGCGTGGTTAACTTATTTGCGTGACTTATATTGGTCTGGGGAGTATATTGCCCGTTAAAGCCCTCATAAGTTTCGTCGATCTTTCGATGAAAACTAGATAACATATATTAAATTGACTTATTTTAGTACATATTAATGAGTCCAAATAACGAAGTATGTATTTGATTATTCTATTTAATACCATATTAAACGTCACATTTTAATGATTTTTATAAATTTAGATACATACTTCATGGAAAGGTTATAAAAAAAAAAACCTTTACCCACAGTCCTCCAGCGACCCCTTTCTCATTTTCTCTATCCTAACTTAAAGTGTCATTTGGATTTATTATAATAGACAAATATTTTTGTTTTCGAATGGGCTGTGATTCATTAACATTTAAGAAAAATATGTATTTTTGACTATCAAATGCCTTAAAGTATTAATATAATAAGAAAACAATCAATCTCTGTTTGTATCGAAATGGCATAACTTGTGGGGAAGTTTACTGAACAAAAATATACTCTGTTGCCTAAGAGCATAACTATCGTTTTTTTAATGTCTATTCGATAGGCAGAAAATTCATACACTTTTAGCACCTACATAAAGGTATTTATAATATAAATTAATAAAAGTATGGTACCATCCATTGATTTACGAATGGATTCCCTCTCTATCTCTCTCCTTTACTGCTCTTGATCTCTTTCATATAAGGACACATAATCAAGTACCTGGATTTAGTTTAAACAATGATACCTATAATTGAGTACAGTTTGCTTAAAATATGTACAAGTATACTTAGTCCTGTAATTATACTTACAGGAGAAAGTTAAGGGTTAAAAATATTACCGATAAAATGTTCTAAAAAGACTGCATCTTACAAGAATCAAGCATATCACTTCATACTAAATGACAGATTTAGAGGAAACACGCAACATTTTCTATTTCTAACTGTAGTGAAAGGATTGATTACTAATACGATTAGGCATAATACAAATTACGTTTAAAGAAACGAATAAAAAGAAAAAAAGGAATCGTTTTCTGGAAGTCTAAAGAAAGGAATAACAGAATTTAAAACTAGAGAGCACGAAGTTTTGATCAAACAGGTTTAACTCTGAATATTAATTGACAAATATTAACTGAACACAGCATAGACCAAAACATACATACACGGTCTCTGCAAACTGAACGAAACTAACCCAAACATTTGCCGGGATAATTTACGAATGTTTGATTTTCAACAGACCGGGATTTAAATTAACTCTTGTAATTATCGGTACAAACAAGGAAAATAGCGAGGGAGAGTAATCAATTTATGGATGATATAGTTTAATAAGTTCAGTTGTAACGACTAATTCGATTCGTTTGTTATTTTCCCATGGTTAGTCATTTTGTTTATTTTATTAAATTAGCAAATGAGTGATTATTGTTAAATAATCCTGTAGTAATCAAAATGGTGTAAGGTAAAGTATAAAGTAAATATATAACAAGTACCTGCTTGTCATATGATCTGTTCTTTGGGGCAAACAAATTAATCTAGTTAAAGGGATTTTATCAAGAATTAAAACAAATAAATAACTCTGACTCTATTTCTTTATAAAATGTTGGTATTACTGACAGTGATGAAACATGAGTGAAGAGTGGTGCACCTCACCTAGACTATTTGGCAATGCCTTCTAAAAAAAAAATTCAAAATTATAAAAGTTTTTCGTTTCTTCACTAGAATTTTTTTTGTAGGTCATTTTTGTAAATGATCAGTTGAATAATCAGCCATATGGATATAAATGTAATATCTGGGACCCTCCCCCAAAAAATAATATAAAATATTTATTCTTCCATGTTCTGTGCTCTGGGTCATTTTATCCTTTATTTAAAGTATATTAATAATTAAATAAATCGACAAACAAAAAATTCTATTAAAAAAAAGTCGTCTGATTGAAGTAAAATTTGTTTGTAATGAAGTTATAATAAAAAAATCAATAATGTGGGGCTCTCTGAGTATGTGAGAAAAAAGCATGTATATTTTTAAAATTAGGTGTAAGTTAGAAAAAATATGTTTCGTATCTTTGTTATGTTCAAGTAAAAAATGTATATAAATGTAAATTAAGAGATATTTAAACATTTTGAAGTTCAAACCTAAATTACATGTTTTTTTTTAGCCAAGATTTTATTATATATATAATAATTATTATATAATATTATATAACTTTATTATATAATTTTTAATAATATAGGTGAAATATTTCTTTAAAAGTGGAATATTTCTGATTTGTACAAAAAAATTAATATATTTTATTTTAATAAAAATTAAAACTGGTTGGTCCATATTTTAGTAGTGTAGTTTCACAAGAAGCGACTGTTGTAAACGAAGAAAACAAATCTTGACTAGTTGAATTTTAAACCGACAATACTTATTTATATTTATAATTAATTGAAAAACATTCCAGCGTCAGACAATGTCTTAATTGTAGTTTAAAAATAACTTGTGGAAATGTGATTTGTTTTTTAAATAAATATATAATAAAAAGGTTTTTTTTTAATAATTGACACTTTGATTTATACACATTTTTATTTGTGCTGTGACAGTTCACTTAACAACTAATGATATTTACATTTTAGAAATAGAAACTATATACACTAAAATTATAATCACAACGGCAATATAATGTAATATTAACTTGTAATTTGGCATCTTATTTTATATATTACTAATCTATGTGAAATTAAATCACAATATTATTGTCAATTGGCATATATCGATTACTTGTCAATTGTATATATTAAAAATCGATTCAAGATACTTTTTCAAAATAATTATATAAAAACTCATAGGAGTAAATAAAGTATAACAGGCTTAAATTCATTTTATAGATAGACTACAATGAGTAAAATTTTCAAAAAATTTAAATGGATAAATACTAAGATATGTATTTGTTCTTAGGCTTAGATAAAGTTAGAAGATTTGTTAAGAATATAAAATATTTAAAAAACATTGAAAATAATTAAAACCAAGATTATATGAAGGGACCACTAACAAAAATGAAGAATTGCTAGAATATAGCAAAAACAAAATAATCTATGTATTATTGTCATCAATTCAATCAATTTCGGACAAGTCAGTCTGCTATCGCAGTACCTACTATTGCAAATTAATTTTTTAGTAAATATTTCACTCAGAAATAAAATAAAACTTTAAACTGGAGTTTTGTCTTTTTGTTAGTAGATTCCTCATTTAGTAATTTAGTTATCTTTTAACTTATTAAAGTCTAGCCAAATCCTAAATAGCTAACGAGAAATATGAGTGTATTTCAAACTTTGACTTAAAGCATAACTGTATAATTTGTCAAGAAAGAAAAATATGAACATATATTTCATTTAAAAAAATCTCAAATTATAAGCTGAACTTATCCGAATTAAAATTATCAATTATTGAATTATACTAGGGTCGACCATCACCCGACGCCGATGAGAGACAAGATCCAAGCGAAGGTGGACTTGGAGGTCACACCGTTCTTGTCCTCTTTGGTTTTAGGGAGTCATTCCACAGGTAAGGATTCGTGCAAGAAGGTGCAAGGTCCTCCTTCAGCGAAGTCAGCTGCGCCGTGGCCGTCTCCGCTGAGTACCCACTTGGTCGTCAGGAGACCTTCGACTCCCACTGGGCCTCTGGCGTGGATCCTGGCAGTGCTGATACCAACCTCAGCACCTTTAAAAACAAAGATAAAAATAATTATTAAAAAAAAACCATAAGTCGTTTTGAATTATTAAATAACTAGTCTATTTCAAACAAAATTTATGAATGGTAACAAAAAAAAAAAGAAATAGATGACTTGAAATTTTATCAATTCAGAAGTGGTTAGTAAATAATGATACAATCATCGTTTTGGTATTATTTAGGCAGTATCAGAAGTTAAAATCACATATTCACATTGATTGAGAATAGTATTTCTAACTTCTACGCATAATATAAAATAATACAAAACTTGATGATACTTTGTAAACGGCTCAATAAGTATCATCTGAATTGTTCAAAACATTTGATGAATACTTTAAAAGTGATGAAGATTGCATCAAGCTGTTATAGTGGGTGCTACAGACCCCTTTTTATCGAATTATTAACATCTGCCTGAAACGTCGTAAATAGTTTCATCTCATCGTAACCTAAAACTATTATATTTACGAAAACTCTTAGAAATGAGGCGTTTTCAATCTGGAGAGGGGCAAACTTTGTCTATTTAATTAGGTACTAAAAACTCGTTAATACCCATTTGCTTTCTACTTGGATCCTAAGATGATTTGATCATAAAATCGGTAAAAAAGGTGGCTTACAAAAATATTAGGCCGTTTGTCCCATATAACCTCGTTATTTTAAAAATTTGGGGATATAGGTCACGCCAAACGGCTCAATATTTTTAAAGGTCATAATTTTTATCGATTTTGTTATTAAATTGTCTTACGATCCAAGTAGTTTGTTATCAAATTATTTACGAGTTTTTAGTACCAAATTAAATAGACAAAAGATGATTGTCCCCCTCCAGATTGAAAACGCTCCAATTCCAAGAGCTTTTGTAAATAAAACAGTTTTACGTTATGATGGGATGAAACTATTTACGAAGTTTCAGGCGGATGTTAATAATTCGATAAAAAGGGGTCTGTACCACGTGCTATTAATGTGACCGGCACTAAGGCTAGTATTTTATTAATGTTTATTTTTTAAATTTATTTTATTTATAAATTGTTTTTTTCTTTTTCTTTTATAAACACATTTTTCTATTGTTATAATTCAAGTATGAGTATTTTTTCTTGTACAGCTGCTAATCAGTTGTTTCATATAACCTTAATCTCTCGTTTCCTTCAGTATGTTTTTAGAAGGATTGAGGACATATCAATAAAAAAATTTTTTATCTCTTTTTTCTTTCTTTCTGCAGATATGTGCCTGAATCGGTGAAACGTTGGCAAAAGTTAAGTATACACCTGTATGTTTGGAGGCTCATGGCTTTATAGTTTGGATTCTTCTTTACATAATATCTCTTTTCGAGCTTTATTTTACTTCGTTTTATTGATTCGTTGTTTGATAATAGATTTTATCTTTAGAATTTTGTCATGCTAACGTTTTCAAATAATGATATAATTTCATTAAATGGTTTTATGATTATCTCAAACTTAGTTTTTGAATTTCATTCATGCTTATTGTGAGGACTAACACTATAAATGTTCTTAATACTCTCAATACTCATGAAACCATTATAAAATTGTTTTTTTAGTTTATTGCTTATTATTATTATTATTATTTTAGAATTGTCTTTAATTTATTCATTGGGCTCTGGTATTGGGCAGGTGTACAATATACTCGAATTTTAAAATAGGAACTCCTCAACAAAGTCCTTTAAAATTCTGAAGATGTCCTTCAGCTGCTGTACAATAAACCCTACTAAGTTCTTGGAAAGGGGAGATAATTCATAGTTAATATCCATCGACTCTGATAAGTAAATCCTGTTTTGGTAATAATTAATATTCTTCTATAAGTTTAATTAATTTGCCAGATACAATAAGACAGGATGGTTCATAATTTATTACTCAAACAATATTGACAATACCTATATAATACCCAGAAATTAAAATATGTTTTTAAACTGTTTTACATTTGCAGTCTACATAAGAAATTTAATATGTTTAAAGAAAATGTTTAAACCAAGTTATTGCCGAACGTATCTAAAGCTAATACAACCGCTTCAAGTTGAAATAAATTGAGCTTTTAGTACTTTGAACTATAAAAAAAAATAGTTTTACTTTTTTATAACAGAAGAGGAAAAAAAAAATTCATACAATTGATGTTGTAAATGGTTATATATTTTATTCATTTTCACTTTGAGAATTTTCAGATATAAAAATATAAATATGTAACTTTATTAACGTAACTTTACGTACATTTACAGAAGTAAATGATATGGCATCATTTATATTTTTAAATGATTTAAATATTCATTAATGTAAGAAGTTGATGATTTATAACCCATTAAAAAAACATTTCAATCTGGCCATATAATGATTTACATATTTAATTTTTTTACTTTACTATTATACACATATATATATATATATATATATATATATATATATATATATATATATATATATATATATATATAGTATATATAGTAAGCGAAAGATTCGTGACCAATATCGATTCCGAGTTTTCTATGGAAAAAACATTTTAAGCTCTGTCGGGTCAAAATAAACCTATATCGCAAAGTGGGCTGTTGTATAAATGTAAAATTATATATATATATATATATATATATATATATATATATATATATATATATATATATATATATATATATATTTGTTTTTATTAGGTAGGACTCTTCTCACAGTATGTGCCGATGTAAGTATGAAGTGTTATTTACGGTATGAAAAACATATTATAACTTCTAGAATTATATCATGGGTAAGGTATTCAGTACTTGAATACCTCAAGTGCTCAAAACCCGCCCGAATGATGACCCACATGTTTGGGCTGAAACGTTGGTACCAATAAAAACGTTATAATGACTGCGTCCTGAATATTCAACACCCGTAATATGTAAAACAGTCGATAAACTTCCTTCAATAATTTTAGAGTTATAATATTATAATATATCATAATGATCTAGAGTTAGAGGTACTTTTGAAAGGCACAATTTCATATTACATTGAGATAAAATATGTTGCTCTTCTCTTTATTAAACAAGAAAACAAGCCGAGATAAAGTCAATTTTCGTTCGATATAAAAATATAATAGAAATATTTCGGGTTGCACAAAACATAGAATAAAAGTAGATCAAAGACAAATAAGTTATTTATTATTATTTGAAAGGTCATTTAACCTTGACTTATATTTTATTAAAAATATGTGTTAAGGTATTTTTCTCTTCTGCTGAATACCAGTCCAACTAGCCTAATTTAAGAAGGGTATTAAATTATTTAAGAGTGGTAAGTGAAACTTATGTGATGCATTTGCCGCACCAGATTTTTTTTGTGTAAATTTTGAAAAACAGCCTAATGTAAAACCCTTTCGGTGTAACTTTACCTCGAATAGGATAATTTGATGCCTGCCAGAATACAGAATTTTTTTTTTTTAATTCTACATGAGTTACGTGAAATTTCAATTTGATTAAAAAAAATTATAAATTTATTCATTAAGGGACATAAAATAGTAAACATAGGTTTATAATCTTACAGGAGAATGTTTACAACGAATACTTATTTTACTCCATACATTAACACTGAGCAGAAACCTTGAAAGGAGTATTGAAAGATTTGAGAGAAATATCCTCTGCGTGATAGCCGGAGCTATCTGGGATCAGAGTATTAACGCATGGAGGGGAAAGACCAATAAAGAGCTGCTTACAGAAACTGGTCAATCATTATCTCATTATTATATGTCATCTGCTCGGAGCAATCTATCAAGAAGCCTCTACACAACAATGAATGCCTCAATAGTAGGCAAAAGACCACCTGAAAGACCAACAACCAGATGGATAGATTAATGCAATAGAGCCGCATGCAGATAACTGTAAAAAAATAGTTCAAGATATCCAGAGATGGAGAAGGTTGGTTAAGGCGAAAAAAGTTTGACAAGATCCATAAAAACAAAAACATAATAAAAGTGATCCTACCGTAACATTAATCCAAGAATACCTTTGATATATTTTTTATTTTGTAGAAAGTATTTTGCATTAGGAAATCCTTTTGCACAATTATTTTATTGAAAATTGAAAAAAAAGAATTGTGCGAACTTATTTAAGGTAAAATGTTTAAGCAGTAAATTACATGAATTGGGAATGTTTCATCTCCAAGCCACAGGGAGAAAGTTTTAGACAATTGTCTTGGATAAGAAAAGAAAAGAAAAACAGAAAAAGAACTTTCCAACGACTGTGGCGGAAGTAATGTGGAGTAATCTGTTGAACATTTCTATTTTCCAACCTGAGCGACTGTCGCCACCGGAATTTTTCCTTTTTCACATTTAACCGAGGAGATGGGACCCGCATCTAATCCAACTGCGGCTTCTGCCGTAATGGAATTATCCCCTAGACACTGCTGGAATAATGGCCGAGCTGCCTTAGGGAGAAATAATTATGTTGTTCATAACGGCTGGAAGGACATACTGTGGAGGGCTGGAGAACAAAAGATCTGGAGAGAGGATCCGTTGTAGCCCGAGGGTGTGTGGTCCACGGGTCTGGGCTTTAATTAACAAAAGAATACGGGTGTCTTCACCTTCTTTTATTTATTTATTATTTTTTAATGAAAATTTTAAAAGCAGTTTCTCATAATTTTACATCTTTCTATATTAAGAAGATATTTAAGTTTAGCCATCTGTATAAATATTAATAATTTAAATAATCTATATTTAAACTAGATATAATTTGGTACCAGAAACTTCTCTTTAAACTCAAAACTATAGTACCTCATACATACTATCACATTCTTCAGTCTTTTCTTTTCGACAGATTTTTCTCTGTCCGACAGGGCTTAGAAATTTCCTCAATTCGACTAGTATCGGCAGGAGTACCTTAGGGATCAATATTGGCATCTTTACTCTACGTATGACATGCCTACCTCCTCTGAAACATTGACTGCTACTTACGCTGACGATACAACAATATTAACAACAAATCACGACCTCATATCTTACGATTCAAATGGAATCAAAATGGGTACTCGTGAGTTTTAGTGCCTAATTAAATTGACAATGTTTGCCGATCTACAGATTGAAAACACCCCGATTCCGAAGATTTTCTTAAATAAACTATTTGTAAGTTACGATCAAATGAAGCTATTTACGAAGTTTCAAGCAGATGTTATTAATTACATAAAAAGGGGTACCACAGACCATTAATGTGGTACGCACTAAGACTAGTATTTTATTAATGTTTATTTTTTAAGCATATTCTCTACCACGGAGTAGCAGTCCCAAAGAAACTATTGGGTCCTGTGGATTACAGCCCACACATGTCCTGTTGTCGAGATAAATCGTAAATTTTGAGGAATGCCTTTTAGATACTATAGTTGTCACTGTATACTTATCACATATATACTTAGGTTTAAAACATTAAAATATTGATATTTAAGATAGTCTTCGTTTAACAAAAAAATCATTAGAAAAGTAATTGGAGGAGAATAGCTGTACCATCTCTAGGAGAATTAAGATAAAATGAAAAAAAAAAAAAAACCTTTTGCTATTTTTAATAAATCAAGAAAATATCCAGCTATGGGTTATATACTCCGATTAATACATTTTTATCCTCTAAGTAAATGATCAAACTACAAACCTAGGATATGCTGTACCAAATAAATAGATCTTGAGTGAGTAAAATAGATAATTAGCATAAGTTCAGAGATGGCTATTTCTTATTTCTCAATTATCAAAATGGAGGAATGTTTTCTATTGGGACAAGTTAATAAAATTTTAAAGTAAATTTTTAGTTTTACTGTCAAGACAATATATAAAGTTTCACCAATTTTGTGTGTTTAATAGACTGTCTTGATAGTACTATATTGTATATATGAATAAACATGTTCTCACTCATGCCGCTTATACGTCGAATAAATTAGAGTTAAGGGTAGCTAATGTGAGAGTTCTCGCTGGGATTTAATAGATAAACATTGGCTAAATTATAAAATTATAAGCTATATTTACCAGTTGTAATAAATAAATATATCCACCAAGATAATAAACTTATATTAAAATTATTTACCTTATTTTTTAAATCAATGTATTAAAATTGTATTATCTAATATAAATATTAGTTTATTCTATATTTTTCAAAAAGTTATTCTTACCCAAGCCGAATCTGTAACCATCAGCAAACCTGGAGCTTACATTATGGAAAACGCAAGCGCTGTCGACGTCTCTCTGGAATTCCCTCGCTTTGACAACTACAAAATAAAGAAAAACGTAATATTAAACATCTGAAACAAATTTATGATTCATTAAAATAAAACACCAACTCAGAATATTTATAGTAGGAGCACTACAATTATTTAAATTTGTTTATTTTATAAAAATAAGCCAAGTAATAATTTCGTTGTTTCATCAATCGTAAATCAGGCGAATATAACATGTGCCATAGATGCATTGGTTAATGTTGAAACTTTCCTGAAGGTTTAAAAAAAATATAGTTATAATATTTTAGCTAATTTTTTTTTTTTTTAAGTGAAGACTTCTTTAGGCGCGTTTTGTACTTTTTTTGTGGAAAGTGGATTAGATTGATCCGCCAGATTTCGCTCGGCATTAACGTTCGGGCAAAGTCGGCTAGAGTCGACTGATCAAAATATGTTTACGTACGGATTAAAATACCTCAGAAACTATAAATCCTGCATACTGTAAACGAAAAAATTGTTCAGAATTTCATCCTCTCTGTAATAGCCTATAATTAAAAAAATACATCTTAACGCACCGCCGTGTTGGGGAGGCGAAAAGAAAAATATCGTTGAAAACCAAATGATAAGGTTAGTTGAACATGTGTATTAGAATATTTCAGATACTAAAAATTGAATCTGAATACTGTAAAAACAAGGGAAATGTTCAGCATTTCAACTTCTTTGTAATGAGCTATTATTTATAATTTATATTTCATATTATTAATCTCGCCTCGTTGATGTTTTCATTTGTATCGGGTGGTCTAAAACACACACTTTAGTTTTTATATTATAAGAAATTTTCTTATAATATAATAAAAAATGGGTATTATAAGATAATACTTTATAATAATAATTTCACCTAAAAATATTGTTTTTCCCAAATAGCTGTCATATAATCAGTGTTTTCATCATCAAGAATGAGAATGAAGTTACAGTTAAAAAAAATAATCAAACAGTGATACTGCATTAATTTAAAACATAGATTCATTTGATTGTGTAAAAGGTTAATGCCACAGGTGAGGAACTTGCGGCCTCTAGGCCGCATGTGACTTCCATGAAGTACCTGTCGCCATTAAACGTTTTTGCCTGATATTTATTATCTATCGTTAGAGTTAATACATTTTTAATTATTTGGATTACGAAAATTTGAAAATTAATAGAATAAGTTTAATATATGTATATTGGTGCGTTTATTTAGTGATAAATAGAAATAGCAACAATAAAATATTTTAAAAAATGTTGCGGGTTCCATTAGCACTGCCTCACCTTACCGCGGCCTGGAACATTGGAGTATTAATTTTGTTTTAAACCTATTCTGTTTTATACTGATTGATGTGGGTTATGAATTTTATTGGTTTGTATCAATCAAAAAAATCGTAAGTATAGTTTTTTATTTTATTTTTAAATAAAATTGGTAGTTGGTATTTAATATGACAAAGTAACAGTATACACTGTTATCAAATTTGTAACAATTTACTAAATTTCCATTTATTCATGTTTGGCAGAGATAACTTGAATTTCCCTGTCATGTTCGATGTTTCAATAAAAAAATAAAAAAATAAAACCGAAGCGAACGAAAAACTTCTGTCCTGAATGAGTGGGAAAAGTCGTAGCTTTGAAACACTATATATTTAATTTAGGATTGTAGTTGGGAGCTTTATTACCTAAAATTCACTCAACGGTGGATATAAAACGTTTTTTATGTTTCAATTTTCCCGAGGCGTGGAATAACTGTGAAAGGTTTTCCTCGTAAGCATTTTTTCCCTGTAACCAAACTCCATCGAATTGGGAATAGAAGTTGATTCCCGATACGCTCGGAATTGGAACACTTTAATGTTTAGCTTTCTTTGCGAATAAATTTTTAAATGAGTGTTAGACAGTTGTTAGATTATTCACCTTCTAAAAGTTTGAATTTGGCTTAAAGTTATACTACTTTGAATTTCTTTAATATACAGTATAGGATCATTTATTTTTTTTTCACATGCGGTATGAAATATATTGTAAATGAAAAAAAAAAATCGAATTTTCGTCCTTCGTATTTGGAAGGTAAAACAGGACTCCAGGAGATGCCAATGAACTTCTAGACGCGTCAATGATATTAGAAACAAGTGGTGACTCAAAGAGAGAACTAGAATCACAACAGCTCAGGACTTGTGAGGAGAAGCTGAATGAGTCCATTGCTAGGAATCTAAAAGAAAATTTATGAGCTCTCGTGGATTAGCACAAATGGGTTCTTGAGGCATGTAAGGTTTGGATATAATATGTACGTCGACTATTGTTCCGAGTACTTTGGATTGGAAGGATTTGATACGTTTGTTTTTAGAATATTTAGCTGTCCCCCACAGTTCAAGTCCGTAGGACCAGCTATGTTTCAATATGGTCTGGTAAATTAATGGAGTTTTCAGTTGAAATATGAGATCCTCTCTTTGGTAGTGTATATGGTTAGCTAAATTGTCGGTTGAGTGCTTGTCTTTTATGTCTGATATGTGGGTTCCCAATTAATCTTTCGTCAAGATGAAACCCAAAGTGCAGATACGACTGTGCCCGAGTAAACAAGCGTTACTGAATTAAAAAGGTTATCGGACAGAACTAAAACAGGTTCAATGATTTTGAGTATTTGAATCAATATATAATAATATAATGTAATTGTGTAAATGTTCTTTATTTGTAGTCAGGTCACATTGTGATGGAAATTAATTCAGATCAAAGTACCGCTGCTACCAGAAAAATATCACGTGGATGAATACCGAGTCTACGGACTATGTAAACTACCTGTTAGCGGAAACTACCTCTCCGCCTGAATTGGTGATATGTCGTTGGTGATATCTAAAGTTTAGCAAATATGGCGGCCTCAACGGCAAACACACTCCGTGCTAATATTATTGCCGCACCATCCCTCTGAGCATCCCTCAACTATGGTATCTATAGTATATCGACAGCCAGTAAGTTTTTCGATTCTGATGGCTATCGAGAATATCGAGCCATAACCAACCCTGCGGATTAATTATTAACTTTTAATGGTTTTGTTGCCTCAATGTATTCGATATCGATTTTGTTGTAAGGTACTAATATTGAACAGCGTTCAATAACACGTCGAATTTATAATCCCCGTTCCACTTCTCCTGATACATTTTTTGGGAGCTTTATTTAGAATTTCATTTTTATTTGTTTACTTTGGCATAATTTTTCCTTAACTGTTTCTGCAATCCTTTGTTTTTTGTTTGGACTAAATTATTAAGTCTACTCGTGGTAATATTGCCTAGGATATAAAAGACCTGTTGAACAGGTTGGATATAAAAAGGTAGAAAGTGGCCATTAGTCTTTCGCAATCTGGTGGTAAGTTCCTCTCAGCTTTATGAAGAATCTCCTCTGTGCAAACATTCCTCGCGTTTCCTTTGAATATTTCAGAGGTTATTAAAGCTTTCACAACATTGTTGCCTTTAAAGGTCATTACGATAATTACCCAATATTTTACTTTACAGAATTAGATTGGTAACATGTTAAGTATTAGGTAATTTTTTTTGTTTAACCTCCTTATGGAGTCAAACTGATGAAGGAATATCAGTGGAGAAAGAAAAATACTGGTTACGCGTATAGTTGTAGGTATCTAACGTTTTAAGACTTCTCAGCCTCAATATAACTTTTGAACTTTGACTTGCTTTGCAGAGTTGGGTACAAATTTGGAAAGCTGATTTTTTTGAAATTCACAAGGTAGTAGGTCAGAATTTGTGTGAGATTCCAAAAACTATTACTAAGACTTATGAACTTTTTTTTTTTACTTTTCTTACCTATATATGGAATATATAGTAAGAAAATGTATTGCGATCGTGAAAATTTTCGAATCTGAGTTTTCAACGGAAATACGTGGTTCCCTGAGTCCAAGTAAGTCCCGCAAAATGGTCTGTGTGTTTGCGTGTGTGTGAGTATGTGAGCAGTCTTAATATCTTAATATAAACTTAATATTTTACTTTTTGTTAGACGCACATTTTTGTACAAAATATATAGTTATAGGTTCATTGTATTTTATAATAATTTTCATTAGTTAATTTTTATAGATAATGTAATGTTATTAAAATTTATTAATTTATAGTGTATATAGGTATGTATGTGTTTTTTACTTTTCTTATTTTTGTTATTTTATTTTATTAAATGTATGTACTTTTTAATTATTATTTATTTGTTATTTTGCTTGTTTATTTTATATTTTTTGTACATGCAGCGCGAATGTGACCTACCTCACTATAACTAATAAATAAAAAAAAAATTAAAAAACTTAAAACCGAATGAGGAATAAAAGTTTGCTAAATCCGTTTTTTTTAAATTAACACGACACAATAATATTTAATTATAATTATATCTCCCCCTTTTTTAATTCTTACATTCTTTAAAATTTTCTTATTCACTGATATCCTGCTCATAATATATTCGTCGTTCAAAAAGCCTGGAAATTTAATAAATTTCTGAAACTTTGTTTTAAAATTAATCGCAGACAGCAACTTTGATATCACATTATCCTGAATAAGGCTTATTTAATAATATTTGTCTCATGGTGGAATTCTCCAACCGAGTATATTTAGAACTTCTCTTCCCACAAGTTCTGCTGAAGACATATCCTCAGAAAGCTTGTACGGCTGACAACTCATTTATCATATTCAGTTCCGAGTTCTGATTCTTTCTCCATTCCTTTACAGTATCTATTTTTGGTAATATAATATGTTGAAATTTTCGAATTATATGATATGTAATTAAAGAATTGTCTAATGCTCCGAATTTTTTTTTTAGAACTGACCATTATCGATAGAGTGACTAATTCATATAATTAACCCACATTATATTAATGAGCAAATAGGGAGTTGTTGGACACCATCTTATTAATTTATAGTTAAAAAATATATGTATACAAAATATGATAAATTTAGTAGAAAAAATTATAAGATAACTCTATCTCTCTATCGGAGTGAATTTTAATTGAGGAGAAAGAATAAAACAAAAAGTAAAAAAAAGGTTATAAGGTATAGAACATAAGGATGCAATAAAATACCAGATGTTTCTATTCTATTCTTAATACTCTACTGTTAGTTTTCAATATGGCTACAATTGTACAAGAGGAATTCAATCTACAACAGAGCCAACCCAAGTTCTCTATTGTAAAGTGTACTATTACTTCCCTCATTCAATAACAACACACAACATAAAGCTCTGGGGAAATCTTAGTCTCCAGATAAATAAAGAAGTAGCCGATCCAAGGGAAAAGTAAATCTTCTTTTAAATAAACAATTTTCCTCACTCTTACTAGGTTTTAATAAAAGCCTTAGCCCTGCAAAATATTATTTATTACCTTTAAATCAAATAAATCCTTGTGTTAATATTAACAGTGTCTAAAAATTTTGATCTAAAAAATAATCATACGTTCGGATGTATTACTAAATCGACTGAAAAACTAGTGGAATCGGTTCAAAATGGAATATTGAGGAAAATAGCAAAAGGAACGTCACTGCAAAGATCGAAGGATTAATTCATCAGATAAGAAGTGTATAGTGACGTATGAAGTTTATAGTGTATAGTATGAAGTGTATAGTGTATAGTATGAAGTGTATAGTGTATAGTGACATAAAAATAAACAGAAAAACCGAAAGGAGTTATTTGCCAGCCAATTAAATTGTTCGTAGAAAAAAAATATCTTGCCTTATCCAACACTTTTTTTTTTTAATTGCCTGTTCTTACAAGTATGGCTCCCCTAATTAAGAGGGTGTGATCTAACTCCCCCCGGAGACCAGCCTTTTTAATTATCAATTAAATCAATTAAGTACTCGTAAAATTAACCATAAGATTATCGCATTAAAAACTCTGTTTATTTTTATAATTTTTCTTTTGTGTATTTGAAAAGATAATTAGCATTGAAGAAAAGTGATGGGGAGTAACGAAACGGCTTCGTAATATGGTGTCAGGACCTTGCTTGATTATTTGATTAGTTGATTATCTTATACTTTGTCCCATAGAATAGTGTTTTATGGTTAAAAAATTCCATCCTGAAAATTATTTTCTGCTATTGTTCTTTCAACATGTCGATTATTTTATAAAAACAGGTTTATAGAGTAGACCTGACAAATGTTTGAGAGTATCGTGTTTGGTAAGCATATGGACCACACCTCCAGGCCCCACCACAAATGCTCTGCTCATTCAATTCTGTTCAAATATTACCCCTTTTTAAACTCCAAATGCCAATCTTGTATATGTTCATTATCACGTGTTTCGCACCCAAGTATCAAATTGTACATTTTTTGAAAATATGGAACTTTTATAATTTCCCTCATAATAGTAGGAGTGTAAATGACTTGTGGTCTTAAGATAAAATAGTTTAAACAATGCCTGTTTTCATAAAAAATCATAAAGACAAAACTGTATTTTTATTTAAGAAGGGGTGAAAAATTATAAAATAAAGTTTATCCACTGAACAAATAAAATTTACAAACAAAGATAAGATGAAAAGCCTAAATAACACAAACTAGATATTAAAAAAATAAAAAAATATTTTTTTTATTGTTATCTTATCGAATTCACACACAAAAAAAGTGTAGAATGAAATGCTTTCCAAGAACACTCTTATTTAATTAAGAAATACAAAGGTAAACTATATCTATGACCCTGAGTATTCACTAAATTAAATTCATTAAAGCTATATTTAGAACTAATTAGTTCTCTGAATCTCTTCTAGAGAGAATATTTTTATGTTATATTTGTTAAAAGCTAAAGGGTT